CCTGGCGGATAAAGATATCCATCTCATTTGAAAGAAATGCGATCATAAAAACAATAGAGATATAAAAAAAAACCAAAACAGAATAAAATACGACAAACTTCGTCTCATACAATGCCTCCGGGGTTTGATACTGTAATCCCATTCTTTCAAAGCACGCATTGTAGCAACCAGAAGCAGTATGGAATGCTTTTGCAGTTTCGCCTTGCTGTAACAAGAAAGCAGCCACAGCGTATGTCACTCCGGTCCAGACTTCATCTGCCTTTAAACAGCATATTGAGAGGCTCTCGAAAAAAAAAGGGAATGTCAAAAGATCCCATTTTGCTAATCTTCTTAATACGGAAAATCAATAGGCTGCAGTTTTTGTAAGAACCCATGGGGCAGCTGGGGTAATCGTGACATTATAACAGAAGGCTGCGTTAGATATCGATTAAGCTTATAGACTAATACTGCATAAGAAAACAATGTAATCTATGCAGATCACAGATCTACCGTAAGACTCTACTGTTCCGTTACACTAGCGTTTCCAAGTGCTGATCCCACTCATAAATACGGCAAATTATAGTAAGGTTCTGCAGTAAAGATAAGTAAACTCTCCTGCTGTTTCTACATATCAAAACGGACAAGCTTCTTAGACATTTAGTTAATCTCAACAATGAATCACAAACTGTTTGCTGTTGCTGACTCACGCAGTAAGTATAGCAATAGTGAACAAAACTTTCTGAGATAAACGCCAAATAAGCGGCGACTGCCTACGCTGTGGAGTATGTCAGTGATATGGTAAGTTCACGTCCCCCAAAAGCGCAAACGCAAGTCAGATCAAAATATAGCAGAATACAAATTACTTTACCTGTATATACTCCCTATCCACCTTCCCATCCGGTCGCATTCCATTCACTGCACCCATCTTTCCATTAGCAAATCGACAGACATTATAATCATAAATGGTTTTCAGCGCTTGACGAACCATGTTCTCCGGAAGCACCTAGAATACAGCCAATAAGAAGTAAGATTCAAAGCTACAAAAGAAAACACCATGAAATTTACCTCGGCAGCAAGTTGAGGTGATACCGACTGTAAGAACCATACACCACAAAGTTGATCAGCCATGATAGATTCTCGACTACGAGATCTTTCACAGAAACGAAAATATGAACCAGTCCATAAACGATCAATAAACACCTGCAACGCCACTTCCGATATGCCGGTCATTTTTCCTTATCACAATCACATAAGTATCTGTTCTGACATAAGAGCAGAGGAACAAAAGGAAACACAGGCGCATATGCAAATAAGCATATAATAATATTAAACAGCTCCCCCTACCTTTCTAGCATTGCCCAGCATTTGCATATACTGCTTCTCACATTCCTCATATCCT